TCCGCGGGGCTCGTTGGGCCGATATCTCGCAAAGTCATGCTCTTCATGCTTCCGAGACTCGGTGCGCCAGTATACGCCCCGCTGTCCGACATCGCAATCGGGCCCCTTCGCGTGATAACTAAGCGGGACGACCAGGCCTCCGAAGAGTTATATGCCATGGAACGTCCCATAACCGATCTTCCCTCGGGCCCGATTGAGCGACGCTGATGATTGACTGCTATCTCCTGTTCCTGGAGCATCCTTTCGTCGATCCTCTCGGTCCAGTTCTTGACCTCGCGTCCTTACCTGCTGACCCGCCAGCTCACCGGCACCGGGATCCTTTGCCCACCGAACGTCCGCACGGACAGGTGTTCGTGTGTGCGCTCGGTGTTCGTAACGAGGACCTAACGGGGACATATGGACCTTTTCGCTACATCCTCCAAATGTACAGAACGTCCGGAACGTATGTCCTCCGGGCGTACATAAGACGTTTTTGTGCTATTCGGAGTGCGTCATCACAGTGCCAAACGTAGTTCCTGATGTCGGTGTTACGAGCCAGGGTCGCGAGCAGCGTGAGAGGCCGGCGGAGTAGGTTTTCCAAGGAATATGGTTTATCCGTTTGTTAGTGAGGTGCGCGGACGAATGTGATGCAGAATCAGAGAGCCGTGGCCGTTAGGATGATTGAAAGTGAAAACAAACCTGATGCGAAATCAGGGAGCCGCAGGAAATGTTAGTTAAGCCTCGTAACTCGTTTTATTTTAGATACAACTCGAGCGGTAAAGTTGTATTGTGTGGGAGAAGTCAACTACAATTATAATGATCACCAAAACCAATGAATTTTAATAATAAAATTACTCATATTTATTAAAGAATATTCTTTGGATATTATACAATCAGTCTTTGGTACAAGTGTGTGAAGTGTAGTGTTGTCGCGGTAAAGTATTAAGTGTAATATTTCCGATTAAATGCTCGGTGTTAACGCACTGGCAATGCGGGGAGTAAGAGCTGTTTTAAAAGATTACCGAATAGAACTTTAACCAAACTCGTGAATTCTATAAGGTTAACTGATGATTCGAAAGGGAACTCGTGCCCGATCTAACTGGATACAACCAACTCTTTACCGGATATAATACGTCGTGACTCTACAAGTGACTGTACTATTCTGCTTCCGAGGTTTAAAATCCACAAGGGTTTATATAGTCCCAAAACTGGGTGGGGTTTCATAGAATTTCTTTATAAGGAAATCTTAACGATTGCGAGTGAATTATGATTCTGTCTCTGGTTGCTATCCAGTAGGTCAAGATTACGCTCCCCTATTACTTGAGGAATAAACAGACGGAGTTTTAGGGCGTTTTCCATTACCAGGCGTGCGGTAGAATACGATCGAAAATGAAATTATTCTTCATACGTAACATCGGAAACAGTTATGTAGAATGCACTTGAACTAGCGTGATTTTCATTGGACACCAAGTCCCATAAGATGTTAGGTCTATTCTTATATTTCGTCTGTGGCTCGGACAACAACGCTGTCAACGCAGAATTGCATCGAGCATACTATTAATATCGCCGACCGCGATTCTTAACCGCGGCGTGTCACATGTCTCGTCGAACAGTTCCGGGAGTTAATTCCTTTTTAACTACATAGCAATTGTCCCGACTGTTGCACTAGCCGAGCAAACTATAACCGAACCAATCTGTGAACTGGCGAAAACCAGAACCGTAGGGCTTCCGAGACTGCGACAAAAGCCCCGAGGAAATTGAGGATAGGAGAAACTCCGCTGCGTAAACGGAGCTTAACCGCACTTCGACGTGGCGTAAGTTGTAGAATAAGATGGGAACGCAGAGGTTGGTGGGACGGGGGTGGAGTCGAAGGAGGCGGAAGTGAAGCGGATAGGTAGGTGGAAGAGGAACACGGATGGCGGCAACAGGAGGAGGAAACAGGGCTCATCGAGGAGGATGGTGCAAACGGGTTGCAGGAAAGGGCGGTGCGAACCGACGGTTCTCAAGGCGAAACTTGCAAAAGTACATCGCGACTCAGAAGGCCGGAAGTAATCGCAGGGAGTTCTACACCGCGCGGATCTACGTTATCATCGGCTGATTTTACGGCATTTACTATTTAGTACTTGCTGATAGTCTCGCGCGCCATATCTTTCAATTAAGAAGCAAAGATCGTTACGGTTTACGAATATTATGGATTCGTTGGTACAGTGTAAAAAACTTGAAGCGTTCAAAGCCGAAGGTATTGGAGCAGACTTCATTTTGAACCTTTGATGTTTTAGCGCGTGGATCTTTTATATACACATGGGTGAAATAATATAAGATCAGGGCCGTTCCTGGGTTGTTGGCAGCTCGGGTGCAAAAACAGTATCGCCGCCCTTATTTACTTAATATTATTTAATTAAGAATTTTATATGCAGTGTTTACTTTTATATCTATATACATATTTATATGTATACATAGCTTTTAAAACTTATCATTCAAAAGCAACATTTTCTAATTTTTATTTTCATAAAATGTAACAATGATTCTTAAAAAATGAATGGTTCTATTTAATGTGAATATTTTATTCCACATATGAGCAAAAACTAACGTATGATGTTTGTAATAATGATGTTATGGCTGATAAATAGCTATCATTAATTACCTACACAAATATGTAAGGATTTTGAGTGAATAGAGATATCTTTTAAAACAAGAATATTTAATAATGAAAGAAAAGGAGGAAAAAAAAACAAAGTCACACACAATACACTTGCTCACTCGCTTTACAAACTCGCTCCCTAGTCTTCTCACACGACTTTTGACACGACCTCTCACATTAATAACATGTGTGAGGTCCTCACACGACACTCTTCGCTCTCTCGATTCACAGTCCGTTCCCCCGCATCTCCGTCCCCGAAAACGGACCTCCTCACGCAAACACTCATTCACATCGATAACATAGGCACGCACTCCTTAAGACCTATAGTTCCTCGAATCCATGAAGCAGCGACCCCACATATATAATCCAATAAATATGACTACATAAAACTATGTAATTT